TGATGACCGCGAGACAGTCTTCTGTTTTTTAGCAGACCAAGAAACAAGGTTAGAGCCAAGATATATCGCATATCCCCCGGTGGATCGGCGGTCATCTGGGCAACCGGCCCAGTCAGAATCAGAGAAGGCAGTCAAGGAGTTAAACGTGGAATCTGTGTAAGCATGGAGAACGGTGTCGGAGTTTTGTTGAAACAGAAGACCACATGTTACGGTGCCGAGTAAATACCTTAAGATTCTTTTAACCGCAGACCAATGGTTTTGAGTTGGAGAGTGCATATACTGACAGACTTTGTTGACTGCAAAAGTAATGTCCGGACGTGAAAGAGTGACATATTGTAAGGCGCCAACGATTTGACGATATTTAACCGGATCTTCAAACGGTGGACTGTCGCCCAGAGCAAGATTGGCAGTGGTAGTAATTGGCGATGGCACAGGTTTGGCGTGAGACAGATTAGCACGTTCAAGAACATCAAGTATATATTTCCTTTGAGACAAAATAATGTCAGATCCACATTTAACAATCTCAACCCCCAAAAAATAAGACAGATCCCCCAAGTCTTGTAGAGAAAATGTTTGACCGAGATTTGCAACAACACGGTCAATAGCGGTGGTGTTGTTCCCTGTTAAGATAATGTCGTCAACATAAACAAGCATATATATAAAAGAACACCGTTAGAAGAGTAGATAAAAAGCGACGGATCTGTTTTAGAGCCTCGAAAGCCGAGAGCATGAAGAGCAGTAGACAACCGTTGGAACCAAGCTCGGGGAGCTTGCTTAAGTCCATACAAAGACTTATGAAGAAGACAAACGTGATTGGGTTTCAATGGATCAACGAAACCCGGTGGTTGTTGTAAATAGACCGTCTCGGTGAGATTTCCATGTAAAAATGCATTCTGAACATCAAGTTGTCGTAAAGGCCAATTATGTGTCACCGCCAAAGAGAGAACAACCCGAATAGTAGTCGATTTTACAACTGGACTGAAAGTCTCATGATAGTCAAGACCCTGTTGTTGACGAAAACCTTTAGCGCACAATAGCCCCGGTATGATCGCGCTTGAGTTTGTAAACCCATTTACATTCAACGACATTCATATTTGAGACACGAGGAACTAACGACCAAGTATTGTTCCGCAGAAGAGCAGAATACTCTTCTGCCATGGCCTGACGCCATTGAGGCAATTTGTTAGCAACAGTAAAGGTGGCGGGTTCAATGTCAGGAGAGGAAGTATGAGTGTGATAGGAGGTGGGATCATATGGTTTGGTAGGCTTAGGATTAGGACGAAGGTTGGAGGGTCGAACGCATGGTTGAGAGTGGGTAGCTTCTGGTTGGGGAATGGCAGTTTGAGGGAGAGAGGTGTCAAGTTGAGATGTGGTGGTTCGCGGGCGTCGGTGATAAGTATGGAGGAGAGGGGGACGTTGTGGAGATTTGGGGGAAGGAGGAGATGTAGAAGATATAGGAGATTTAGGTGGAGTAGTAGGTAATATGGGTGGTGGTGTAGTGGGTATATTTGAAGGATCAGGAGTAGGATAGGACGATGTATATGGGTTAGAAGAAGAAGGTTCGGGTGGAATTGGGGGGTTGATGTTGTATGGAAAGGATTGTTCATGAAACCGAACATGACGAACTATATAAAGTCGTTCAGAGAGAGGATCAAAGCATCGGTAACCATGATGGGATGTGCTATATCCAAGAAACACGCATGGAAGAGAGCGAAAATCCATTTTATGCTTGTTGTACGGACGAAGGTGTGGAAAGCATTGACAACCGAACACCCTAAGAAATGAAAAATCAGGTTTGTGTTTGAAAACATGTTCAAAAGGTGAGATGTTTTTGTTTGTACGAGAAGGCATGCGATTTATAAGATAAACAGCTGTGTCAAAAGCAAAATGCCAGAAACGTTGCGGAACAGAGGATTGGGCAAGAAGAGTAAGACCGGTTTCCACAACATGACGGTGACGACGTTCTACAAGACCATTTTGTTCACTTGTATGAGGACAAGATAGGCGATGGGTGATACCGAGAGATGAGAAAAATTGTGAAAGATTCCGAAATTCACCGCCCCAATCAGTTTGAACTGATTTTAACTTAGTTTGGAATTGTCGTTCAACAGTAAGAATAAATTGTTTGAAAGTATTATAGACATCAGATTTGGCTTTTAAAGGAAAAAAAACCACATAAAGCGGGAAAAATGATCAACACACAATAAGAAATATCGATGCCCATCAAATGAGGTAACAGGAGCAGGTCCCCAAACATCACAGAAAAGTAAGTCTAAAATATGAGAGCTTTTATACGTAGAGGATAACAAATGAAGTTTAGAGGATTTGCCAATAGAACATGAAGTACAAGTTGAAGTAACATGTTTATCTAGTAAAGGTAAACTATATTTAGAAATCATTGACTACTGCTGATGAGGATGTCCAAGGCGTTGATGCCAAGTGATCGAAGAAGCACGAGTGGCGGAGAAAGCAACTTTGGAGGAAGTAGGCTGGAATTGCGGAAGATGGAAGGAGTAAAGGCCGCCACTACTTGGACCCGTGAGGAGGGTAGTGTGAGTAATCTCGTCCTTCACAACAAAAAAAGAAGTGTGAAATTCAAAGTAAACATTATTATCATGGCAAAATTTTTGAACAGAGAGAAGATTTTGTTTGATTTCTGGGACATGAAGCATTTGTGAGAGATGAAAAGTTTTATGTGGAGAGTAAAGCTGTGAGGAACCGATATGAAGAATGGGTAAACCTTTACCGTTGCCAACATGTAGAGTGTCATGACCGTTGTATGTCTCAGAATGATCAAAGCTGGAGAGGTCGGCTGCAACATGATTAGTTGAACCAGTATCGGTGACCCAGGAAGAGGAAACCTGGGAACGGTAATCAGCAAAATTAGCAGAGGGTTGTTGTCTCGTACGAATGGTTGCTGGATCACGATTAGGGCACTGGGATGGAACATGGCCAATACCGCACCTGTTACATGTGCCATAAACAATATTTTGATTAGATGCCCAAGTAAACTGAGTTCGATTACCTCCTCCTTGTTGTCGGTTATTGTAGTTTCCACGGCCTCGGTTGTTTGTTGAGCGATTGTTGCGATTGTTGCCTGATCGGTTTGTGTAGAAGGCTTGGGCTGGTGGTGAACTTGTTGGCTGAAGTTGTAACCCAAGCTGTTGTGCGAGTTGTTGAATAGTCTGTACAGCATCATCTCGTGACAGGGAGTGTCCGACAAGAGAGGGATTAGGTTGTCGGGTGGCAGCAGTGAATGCTTGAGCTGGTGGTACCTCTGTAGAGGTCTTTCTGATCATGTAGTCGTGGTCGGAGAGAAGACCATGAAGTTCAGCAAAGGCAGTGGGAGAGTGTCGGGCTAACAAGGTGGATTTCAACCCATTATATTCGTCTCTTAAACCTGATATAACAAGCATCACGAGGTCCTTTTCTTTCATTGGTTCACCAATGTTGGCTAGAGCATTAGAGTACTCTTGTGCCCGGGTTAAATAGGCAGATGAAGATTCATCTTCCTTCATTGAAATTTTCAAGAGTTGGGTTTTAAGAGTATATTCACGAGAGGAGGTATGAGGAGCATAAGCACGTTCTAAAGACAGCCAAAGGTCACGAGACGAATTACCTTGAACATGTTGAAAAGAGGTTTCTGAGATGGTGGACAGAATGAGCATCCGAACATGCGCATCATTGGATACCCAAGCTTTGTAACAAGGGTTGGCTGTCGATGTGGAGGTCACTGCGTCTCCTTCTTTGCCAGAAGATGTGGTGGATACGATAGTGGCTGGAGGGCACAATATGGTGCCATCGACATAACCAAACAAATTGTTGGTGATCAAGAATGGTTGTAACATGGTTTTCCAGTACCCATAATTGCTTGGAGTCAAAGTAAAAGCAAATTTATGAGAATTGTGGCTTGTTTTCTCGGTAGTAGAAAAAATCGTGATGTCTGCCATTGTAGTAGCTGGTCGACGATGGGTGTAGAGGGGTTGTTATGGCCGCTTTAGGGTTAGAGATAAAAGTGCTCTGATACCAAAATAAACTTGGTGAATAAGGAATTGTATTCTTAAAAAATCATACGTAAGGAAGGATTACAAGAATATATATAGTAAATACATTTACATTAACACCCCCTGTAGAATATAAACTATATATATTTCTATCCTTTATAACTATCGTCTAATATCTTCAAATTAGTTGACTGATCACCAATATTTTTATATTTACCAGTCGTTTGTACACGTGGTTCTACGGACGACTACTTTCTGAACGTAAAGTCTCCATTTCCTGTGATGAAGTGGTAAAAAAAAAAAATACATATACTTCAGAAAGGTGAAGGAAGGAAACCATAGGTTCATTTTTTGTGATGTATGTTTCGTTTTAGCAATTCATCGAACACTTGGCATACGTTGTAGCAAAGAAGCAAAGAAGAATATAAACAAAACACAAACGAAGAGAAAAGAAAAACAAAACTTACGTTGATCCTTCCGATATTAGTGAAGATAAGGTTGACAAATTGGGTTGACATTTGTGTTGCTATGAGCCAGTTGACTTCACTGTAGAGACGAACCGAGGAAGCGGTAAAATCGATTTAAAAAAACCTTTGCTATAAAAATGAAGAAAAATAAACAAAATACCTACTTCCTTCCCTTCATGACCGAATGAATCCTCTACATCCTTCAATCTTTAATCTATGGTTGAATGACAACCCATATGTTGAAATCAATCTACTAAAAAAAATCAATACAAAGTTGAAACAATAAAGGGTCGTTATTCACAACTTCTGAACAATCATCAATCATCAGGGCTCTCATTTAACAAAGCCTTTCGTTTAGATCTGTCCATGAATCTATGTATTGCCTGATTTATCGTATCAGAAAGAAGGAACACTTCGATCTTTGTATGTTATAAAAGGGAATAAAAAGAACTGAGTTCTCTGCTGCAACTAACCTCATGTTCAACAGCCGAGTTTTCTGCTGCAACTAACCTCATGTTCAACAGGCTCACTAATATGCAGAGCTAGCTGAACCACCGTAGCGCCACCCTAACATGCACCAGTCATCAAGTCATCAACAGACCCATTAAATTATGCGTTGCAATTATTACCATCATATAATCAGGTAACTGGTCGAAGTATGGAGCATAAACCCCCTCGATTCCTACCTTCCCTGCATGAATCGTGCTCTGAATATAAGAATGATAAATACATGACCGACCAGTAGCAGATGCGTTTCTCGTCAAAGCGTCGTCACAATTTTTTTTTTCCAGCAACAACACTCTTCAAGTTTAAAATTGATATTAATCGAACATTACATCGAACACCCGGCGTGCCAAATGAAATACAGTTTGAAGTAACAAAATCCCAACCTACCATCAACCTGTATGTGTAACTGTAAATTTAAACATTATAAGCATATGTAGATTAAAATTTTAAGTATGTAGTTTAATCAAAAAACTATAAAATTTACCTTCTCTATTGAAGTAACAAATTGTACTGACACATTATATATTTGTAAAAAATCTTTTGCCCATATTTTGTTAGCTGCATCGTAAGCTGTTTATATATTTGTAAAACATCTTTTGCCCATATTCTGTGAGCTGCATCGTAAGCTGCACACACCGCCTATGTGTTTACTCCCAATACAGCAGCTCTGTTAATCACAAATTTGCCATTGTTAAAAAAATTGTAACAAAAATTTCCTACAGTCAACATATGTAACAGATCAACAAATTCAATGGCTTTTTAACCTCACCAGATTGAAGTAAGTGTGCCTGCATTCACTAATCGAATAAAAATCAAAGTAACTTATCAAACAAATGATCCCTACATTTGCCCCGCCAATGCACAAACTTTGATCCTTCCTAAATCAAAGTGCATAAAACAATCAAAATCAAATATCATAATACAGGTACCGTTTCTAGATAAGCATAGGACTAAAAAAACAATCAAAGAACGAATATATTCGAATTAAATTGATAAAACATATAGGGATACCTAGTGAACCTCTTTTGTTAGAGACGATGGAAAGAGGAATACACTTTGATGACTTGGATATTATGAACGTCTGTAAATCGAAGTGCATAAAAGAATCAAAATCAAATATAATATAAAACCAATACAACTTTAATAGAACGTATGGGGATACGTAGTGAATTCTTTTTTTAGAGATGATGGAGAGAGGAGAGAGTTTGATGATTCAAGATGAATGAAGTCTGAAAATCAGAAAAATCGGTGGTTCCATGTGGAACAATCGACAATATATTGGATGAAAGAGGCGGTGGGACGGTGAAGAGCGAAGTCGGCTACCAGAATGCTTCAATTTCAGTCCCTTCTCTATTCACCGACTTCAGATATCAATTTGAGAGAAGACTGAGTCACTGAGATACATCGGTATAGAATCGCGAGAAAGTAAGAAGGCGATGGTGATTTCATTGGAAGACAGCTCCGAGTTCGTCATGATTTCGGAGGAATCGTCTTCGTCGATGTTGGTCTGGGAGACGGAAAGCAGCAGAAGCAGACAGAGAAGAACAGAAAACGACGTAAAGAAGAACAGAGAGGTCAAAATGAAATTAAAAGGCAAAATAAGCAAAGAAGATATTAAAGAAAACACAAACGGACCTTATTGGAAGAAAAAGGCGGCAACCAACGCAGAGGAGAAGAAGATAAGCACGAAGGAAAAGAAGCAAATCAGCAAGTAAATCCAAAACACCGACCTCTTACTGGAGGGAAAAACGGGCAACCGACGTTCAGGAGAAGAAGATAAAGGACCAAGGAAATGAAAGTATTGACCAGGTAAAACCCAAATTTCAGTGGCAAAAAGACTTGTGTGGCCAAATAAGAAAGAGAAAGAACTTTACTGTTGCTAAGGCTTTTAGGAATTGATAGTATATATAAGCTCACTCTAAGCTCACTCATATCAATTTCTCGCTTGAGTAGGAGAAACTCATACATTGTAAAATAATATTTTTTTACTGAAGATTTGTATTAATTTACAAATTATTTTATAAAATCTCATCGTGTGCATTACGTACAAATAAAAAGGATGAATGAGAATCATTCATGATTCATCGTTTCCAAATTTTATGAAATTTGAAGGGTTTGAGCAACGATAACACTTTGACCCAATTTGTTTAAGAGTCAAGATCAAATAAGAATGAAATTTTTGGTAGGAAGGTAAGAAGTTTTTTTTCTACATATTTTTTTCGCGAACAAACAAAATAAATCATTAGATGATTCATTTGTAAGATGATTCACAAGAAAAAATTCTCAAAAAAACATATCGATGATTCATTTATACAATGATTTTGTTGTTATTCACTAAAATTGTCATAAAAATGAATTTTTTCTTAATTTACTTAAAAATGAATCATAAAGATGTTTTTTTGGGAATTTTTTCTTGTGAATCATCTTACAAATGAATCCTCTAGTGATTCATTTATTTTGTTCGTCAAAAAAATATGTAGAAAAAAAACTTCTAACCTTCCTACCAAAAAAGATTTCTTACCGGATTTATATCCATTTGTTTAATACATTGGGAAACAATTTGGAAAAAGTATTTATAATTCACCTGTAATTTGTGAATCCTAAGAATAATACGTCGTTCTACAAGAAGCGGAAGTCTTGACTATAAAACAATTATTCCTAATTTAAAGATTATAAGAACACATAGACACATTTATGAACAAAGAAATACACACACCCCCGTGGCCCCTCTATTTCACATATCAATGGTGGAAGAGTCAACATCAAATTGAAATACATAACCTTCTTCTTCTAATTTTAGACTCGATTTTAGTCCCTTTTCATTTTACATTTGACTTTGTGAAGAGGGTGAAGAATATGAAGCAACAATGGCAAGGAGTAGCACAAGGTGTATCATCTTATACAATCATCAGTGACATCAAAATTTTCTGATGATACATTACCGGTGGAGGGAAAACGACGAAAAATCGTAGATATATTTGGTTCACAATCGACATCTAAGAGCAGAGATGTTGGTCTGGGAGACGGAAAGCAGCAGAAGCAGACAGAGAAGAACAGAAAACGACGTAAAGAAGAACAGAGAGGTCAAAATGAAATTAAAAGGCAAAATAAGCAGAGAAGATATTAAAGAAAACACAAACGGACCTTATTGGAAGAAAAATGTGGCAACCAACGCAGAGGAGAAGAAGATAAGCACGAAGGAAAAGAAGCAAATCAGCAAGTAAATCCAAAACACCGACCTCTTACTGGAGGGAAAAACGGGCAACCGACGTTCAGGAGAAGAAGATAAGGACCAAGGAAACGAAAGTATTGACCAGGTAAAACCCAAATTCCAGTGGCAAATTAAGAAAGGAGAAGACTTGTGTGGCCAAATAAGAAAGAGAAAGAACTTTACTGTTGCTAAGGCTTTTAGGAATTGATAGTATATATAAGCTCACTCTAAGCTCACTCATATCAATTCTCGCTTGAGTAGGAGAAACTCATACATTGTAAAATAATATTTTTTTACTGAAGATTTGTATTAATTTACAAATTATTTTATAAAATCTCATCGTGTGCATTACGTACAAATAAAAAGGATGAATGAGAATCATTCATGATTCATCGTTTCCAAATTTTATGAAATTTGAAGGGTTTGAGCAACGATAACACTTTGACCCAATTTGTTTAAGAGTCAAGATCAAATAAGAATGAAATTTTTGGTAGGAAGGTAAGAAGTTTTTTTTCTACATATTTTTTTCGCGAACAAACAAAATGAATCATTAGATGATTCATTTGTAAGATGATTCACAAGAAAAAATTCTCAAAAAAACATATCGATGATTCATTTATACAATGATTTTGTTGTTATTCACTAAAATTGTCATAAAAATGAATTTTTTCTTAATTTACTTAAAAATGAATCATAAAGATGTTTTTTTGGGAATTTTTTCTTGTGAATCATCTTACAAATGAATCCTCTAGTGATTCATTTATTTTGTTCGTCAAAAAAATACGTAGAAAAAAAACTTCTTACCTTCCTACCAAAAAAATTTCTTACCGGATTTATATCCATTTGTTTAATACATTGGGAAACAATTTGGAAAAAGTATTTATAATTCACCTGTAATTTGTGAATCCTAAGAATAATACGTCGTTCTACAAGAAGCGGAAGTCTTGACTATAAAACAATTATTCCTAATTTAAAGATTATAAGAACACATAGACACATTTATGAACAAAGAAATACACACACCCCCGTGGCCCCTCTATTTCACATATCAATGGTGGAAGAGTCAACATCAAATTGAAATACATAACCTTCTTCTTCTAATTTTAGACTCGATTTTAGTCCCTTTTCATTTTACATTTGACTTTGTGAAGAGGGTGAAGAATATGAAGCAACAATGGCAAGGAGTAGCACAAGGTGTATCATCTTATACAATCATCAGTGACATCAAAATTTTCTGATGATACATTACCGGTGGAGGGAAAACGACGAAAAATCGTAGATATATTTGGTTCACAATCGACATCTAAGAGCAGAGATGTTGGTCTGGGAGACGGAAAGCAGCAGAAGCAGACAGAGAAGAACAGAAAACGACGTAAAGAAGAACAGAGAGGTCAAAATGAAATTAAAAGGCAAAATAAGCAGAGAAGATATTAAAGAAAACACAAACGGACCTTATTGGAAGAAAAATGTGGCAACCAACGCAGAGGAGAAGAAGATAAGCACGAAGGAAAAGAAGCAAATCAGCAAGTAAATCCAAAACACCGACCTCTTACTGGAGGGAAAAACGGGCAACCGACGTTCAGGAGAAGAAGATAAGGACCAAGGAAACGAAAGTATTGACCAGGTAAAACCCAAATTCCAGTGGCAAATTAAGAAAGGAGAAGACTTGTGTGGCCAAATAAGAAAGAGAAAGAACTTTACTGTTGCTAAGGCTTTTAGGAATTGATAGTATATATAAGCTCACTCTAAGCTCACTCATATCAATTTCTCGCTTGAGTAGGAGAAACTCATACATTGTAAAATAATATTTTTTTACTGAAGATTTGTATTAATTTACAAATTATTTTATAAAATCTCATCGTGTGCATTACGTACAAATAAAAAGGATGAATGAGAATCATTCATGATTCATCGTTTCCAAATTTTATGAAATTTGAAGGGTTTGAGCAACGATAACACTTTGACCCAATTTGTTTAAGAGTCAAGATCAAATAAGAATGAAATTTTTGGTAGGAAGGTAAGAAGTTTTTTTCTACATATTTTTTTCGCGAACAAACAAAATGAATCATTAGATGATTCATTTGTAAGATGATTCACAAGAAAAAATTCTCAAAAAAACATATCGATGATTCATTTATACAATGATTTTGTTGTTATTCACTAAAATTGTCATAAAAATGAATTTTTTCTTAATTTACTTAAAAATGAATCATAAAGATGTTTTTTTGGGAATTTTTTCTTGTGAATCATCTTACAAATGAATCCTCTAGTGATTCATTTATTTTGTTCGTCAAAAAAATACGTAGAAAAAAAACTTCTTACCTTCCTACCAAAAAAAATTTCTTACCGGATTTATATCCATTTGTTTAATACATTGGGAAACAATTTGGAAAAAGTATTTATAATTCACCTGTAATTTGTGAATCCTAAGAATAATACGTCGTTCTACAAGAAGCGGAAGTCTTGACTATAAAACAATTATTCCTAATTTAAAGATTATAAGAACACATAGACACATTTATGAACAAAGAAATACACACACCCCCGTGGCCCCTCTATTTCACATATCAATGGTGGAAGAGTCAACATCAAATTGAAATACATAACCTTCTTCTTCTAATTTTAGACTCGATTTTAGTCCCTTTTCATTTTACATTTGACTTTGTGAAGAGGGTGAAGAATATGAAGCAACAATGGCAAGGAGTAGCACAAGGTGTATCATCTTATACAATCATCAGTGACATCAAAATTTTCTGATGATACATTACCGGTGGAGGGAAAACGACGAAAAATCGTAGATATATTTGGTTCACAATCGACATCTAAGAGCAGAGATGTTGGTCTGGGAGACGGAAAGCAGCAGAAGCAGACAGAGAAGAACAGAAAAC